GTTATCGTGAACAACATTAACTACTGCCAAAAGTTTAACTTATATGTAAACACTTTGTGGAAATTGCATTTAATAGGTACCGCCATTATTATTTTCCGGGACTGTAGTAACTAACTTTGTGGAAACCCTTTTGCGTTGACGTAATATAATTATTACTAACTTATCTTTACTACATCACGCACCTATTGCTACATCGCAAAGGCAGATGGAAGATAGTACTACAGTTTCTACTCCACGAGATGATTACTAGACTTCGCTATATGTACTTTTTTCTATCTTGTATTTATATTTATCACAATAAAGAGTCCTGGCGGTTAAACTATCATATACTTTATTATTCGCACATCGTCAAAAATTACAATGATGATGTATAATGGTTTCTGATTGGACGATCGAAACATATACACTCCTACCAATCAAAGTATACGCTATCGATTTATTTTTTCCCCAGATAATGATATGATTGGGTGTCAAGTTTCGTCACATGCTGGAAAATTAGCGCTCCACTAAATCATATGCACGACCCGAAGGGTCATTGCTTTGCAATAGTACATATATTAGGACCCACGAAAAGTTCATGCAATGATGGAAAGGTTTCGGAAACCGATTTTTTTTTACTCTCATCACCTAATTTTTGTAAGATTTTCATCAGATCTGAGAAAACTGTCAAAGTCACTAGAATTACCGTCAATTTATGCCTGCTAGTACATCTTTCTCCAGGTACAAAAACAATTTGAGATTAGCAAGTATTTCCTTCATAGAGGCCGTATTTATTATATTTAATCTTCGTTATAATGATAAAACAATATACATTCAGCATGGATCCTCTATTTCGATCAAATTCATTGAAAGCAATGGTATCTCTATATTCAAGGCCGTAATGCACCACTATATTCACTTTGTATATCCCATAAATCTATGAAGAAATCATTAGGTGTTCCATTTGGTACGCCAGTAGGAACATCGTCAAAAAGTAACTTGGTAGGAATAGCGAGTTGATAGTCTGGCAAATTAGGACCATCGCAAGCAACTTGTCCACATCCGACGCCAGTAAGACTGTTAGCCGGAAAATTCGGAATATTCAAAAGAAACCTTGTTGTGGAGATATGAAGATTTGCAGTCCCAAAGGACTTTGCGATACAAGGTACAGTTGGATTCGGTTGGTCACG